ATCATAGTAGAAGCAGGGAGTGGAAGAAGTCTGATCCAGGAGTAGAGCAGAAAAAGTCAGGATCCAAAAGAAGAGAGATGATGAAGTCATAGTCCAGAACCAGAGACAGAAATGGCACATCAGATCTCATACTCGGGCCGGGGATATAGCTCAGTGGCACAAGCACCTGCTTAGCGAGCACAACGTCCTGAGTTCAATTCCTGATACAAAAAAAAAAATCTCATACCCACTCAAGATCAAGACACAGGGGAAAGGTTAAAAGCAGGAGTTGAACATGGAGTAGAAGTCAGGATACAGAGAACTAAAAGGCTACAAGATTTAGCTGAAATTTAAGCCAGACCTCTAGTCCACCTCCCTTCAGTGGCACAGACACAGCAGTGGAGGCACAAGAAGCTTTAGCTAGGAAATTGGAAAGGGTAAAGAAATTACAAGAGCAGCAAGAAAAAGAAATGGTTGAAAAGCAAGAAGAAATAGGTGCAGCATCTGCAGCCACTGCACCAAAAACACAGTGACTCCTCAGATAGTTATGACAGCTCCCACGGCCACCCTGCAAGCCAAAGTATTGGAATAGTCTGGAATAGCTGTGCCTAGCAACTACAGCCCAGCAGCTATGAGCCCAATGAAGTTGGCTGAAAAGAGAAGAAAAGTAAAATGCTTTGACAAGGCAAGAAAGAAGGGATTTCTCATATAAGAGAAACCATGAGATAGTTAAGCTTGTGTGTCTGATAGATAGGAAATAAGCAGATCTTTCTCAAATGTGAAGGGGATCAAGAGATGGAGGAAGTGTGGAGGGAAGGGAGATAAAGGGGATGAAAAAAGGAATTGAGATATGTTATGTACATATACCAACTCCACAGAAGAAATGTAAATGTATACCGCAAACATGTACAAAGAGAGAGAGAAAGGAAGAGAGACAGAGAAAGAAAGAAAGAAAGAAGAGAGAGAAAAGAAGGAAGCAGGTAAATCCCAGTATCCTGAAGTATGGGGGGAAATTGTATTTTGAAGACAAGGACTAAAATGTCAAATTTAGGAAATTAATGGTATTAAGAGGGAAGATGCAGCTGGATGTAGCTCAGTTGATAAAGAAAGTTACAAGATGTTTTGGCATGGACCGAGGTGTCTCTCAAAAGCTTCATGCACTCACAGGTGGGCCTTTTTGGAGGTGGCTGGATTTAGGGTGTATGAATATGGATTAGGGGTGTGTGAAGATGGATTAAGGATGTGATAACTGGATTGGTCCACTGATGGATTCAGCATTGTTATAGATGTAAGAAATGGAAGATACTACGTGGGTGTGAGTAGCACCAGCTAGTACACTTGTCTTCTGGATGGGACACCAAAGGAAGGGTGAAAGGTAGGCTTACTGCTTTTTCTGCCTCTCCTGCCATTAACTGTTTCTCTTCTGTAATGCCCCTCTGCTATGCTACCCTGTTTTAAAGCCAGTTGACTATGGACTTAAACCTCTACACACTGTAGTCTACAATAAACCTTCCCTCCTTTAACTTAAGGATGTCAGGTAGTTTGTCCCAGCAACAGGAAAGGTAACTAAGATATAAGACATTGAAGTAGCAGGAAGAAGTATTCAGAAATCTAGATGTTCAATATGAAATGGCAAGATCACAAACCCACACACAAGTAAGAATGGGTTTGGGCTTCACATACTTAACATGAGGAATGGATGCAGTGTGAGAGAGATCATACTTTAAAAATTTGAGACTTTATAGAATTCTTGTTCAGATATTGGGTCCTTGTTCACCAAAGAGCTAGCATTCTAACTTGCATGGGTGTTGTGCAGACTTTAATTTATTGGAAAATACAGTATTCTGTAAATATCAGATCACTAATACTGGTGTTAATGTTGTAAAACTCATTTCCATTACACTTGACATAAGTATAGAAGAACAGTATATTTTAGTTAATAAATTCTACTTTTCAAATATATTAAAGCTGTATGATGGATAAAAATCTCATACATAGATCTTTTCATGTCCACTGTCATATATACTTTTGTACTTAACATTCTAATTATTTTCATCCCCGGAAATATGAGAAAATGTTGTGTAGATGTTCTTTAGAAGATCTGGCCATTTGGCACACAATCCAGGACAAATAAACTGTGTGATAATAAAAGTGATTTTCTCAAAAAAAAATCTTTTTTCAGAGTCATCCATGCTAAGACTCCATGTCACAAACCAAAATTAATGTGTTTTCTGATCTTCCCAGAAATCAGAAATATGAGAGATAGCTAAATGTCCCCAAGTGGTCCAGTCAGATCAGTTGCCTCTTTCTGAAGAATAGCCTAATGCTACTCAAGGTAGGGTCCCTAGAGCAGCCATTTCAATGTCAAGTGAGCATTTGTTAGAAATACAGAATCCCAGACCCCATTCCTCACCTTTTGAATCTGTGTTTTAACAAAATCCAGGTTAAATGTTAGGAAGCCCCGACCTAATCATTTTGGTTAAGGGAAACAGCTTCAGATGAGATCAGAGGCAAATGATTTATTACTTCTCCACTTTGGTCTGCTGACTAATAAAAATGGCAAGCTATATGGTATTTCAAATCTCTCTCTAATAAAAGTTTATAGCATGGCAAGGTTGCAAACAGGTGGCCTGTTGGCAGGCAGACAGTGGCCTGATGACACACAGATTTTGCTTGAAATGCCTAAGAATTTTCTCTTGGCAACAATGGACTGGCAGCCTCCTAAACTGAGAATGTATTCTCTAGGATTTCTACTAAGCTAACCAACTAAATGTAACTGTAACTCAACACAACGGGTTCACATCTTAGTGAGTGCAAAGCCAATAAGCACATGCCAGAGATAGAAGAGTAAAGAACACTTTATCACTTGCCACAAGACAAGAGCACACTAGGGATAGTTCCCAGCACAGCATCTCCCTGAACAAAGAAAGCAGGAGCTTTTATTGGGGAAACTTACACATATTCATAAAGAAACATGCTTTGTTCAAAGTTATACATCACCTATTCACAAAAAAATGGTGGGCAAGAATCCCTCTGGGCAGAGAATTTAGTGTTATAATGAGCAAAGTTTAACTGTAGATTAGCTGAAAAGAGTGAGTCGTCATGACACTGCAATTTTTCTGGCTTCTTGTTTCTCTGGAGGGAACCTGTCTGAACTCAAAAAACAATAACTTTGAAGGAACATTAACAGTCACTTAAAGTGTTCTGGCGAAACCAGAACCGAGAAAGGAGCAGCACCCAGGAAGGTTTGGAGGCAATGAACAGCTTTATTTGCACCAATGGGCCTGACTGGGATCACTCCCCAAGAAGTCAGGCCCCGAAGGTTCAGGGAGGGAGGTTTCTATGGGGTAGCAAAGTGGAAGTACAGAGGCAGAATGGCTTGAAGTAAACTGGAGGTTACCTGGAAAACATAACTACCAGAAACTGAAGTATTCTTGCTGGAGGGAGTGTTACAGTTTGTGTCTGGATGTCCCCCCAAAGCCTCATGCGGTCATGTGCAGGTTTCTAGAGTTTTTGATTGATCCATAGTCCAATGCTGGGATTATGGGTGTGAGTGCTACACCCACCCTGGGGCAGGTAGTTTGCATACAATATAAGGGAAGGAAAGATCCTGCTCCCCGCTTGCTCCTCCTTTTTTGCTCTTGCTGTTTTCTGCCACCATGAACTGTTGCCTCTGCCTTGTGCCACTCTGCCTTGGAGCCAACCAAGTATGGACTGAAACCTCCACAAAATGTGAGCCTAACCTTTCCTTCCTTAATTTTAGGCATTGGATATTTTGTCTCAGCAACAAGAGAAAAGTAACTGAGACAGGGGAGCATTTTCTGCTATAAAAGGGGTAGCAGTTCCCCCCTTGCTACCACAAGCATAGGTGATTGTCCCTATCATTACTT